CTACTGGAATTCTAGGCTGCTTGTGACACTCAAAAGGCACTGAACTTCTCCACAAGCCCAAGACACCATTATCTAAAGCCTGCTGTTAATGGAAGGAGAGGGAAAATAAACCAAGGCATGCATGAGACCGACTCACCTTGATTATGTGGGAATCTCCCGTACATCCACATTAATAATTTGCAAGATATCCGTTCAATGCACATCTAACCCCAGCAGAACAAATGCATCAAGGCACTTCTGCTGCATTAAGCCTCTATAGAGCCACTGGCAGAGCCATTGTTTAGATGATTTTTTTTTTTGTAGTACAGTCCTCAAAGCTCCGACTGGGCTGAGGACAGAAGCTTCTCCTGTCCCTCTCAGAAATACAGAGAAGTCTTCTTGCAAGAACCTCTTCGAGTTTGTGCCAAAATTTGAAGAGATCCTGGAAGATCAGGGCCACCCACCCACGAGACATTTTACAGGCAGCAATATTACACAAGTATACGTTTCCCAACAGCAGTGTCCTCTTCTCTATAATCAGGGGTCTTGTTGTAGAAAAAGAGCTGCCGGAGCTCATTAGCATAACTCATTAGCATAACTTATTTGCATATGCCACGCCCCCTGACATCACCGGAAGTGACAGAAGGCCACACCCCCTGACATCACCGGAAGTGTGTCAGGAGGCCCGGCTACTTACCCTCCTGCTTCATCCTCATTCCCAAACGGAATGAGGATCGAAGCAGAGGGCGGGGTAAAGAAGGGGGCGGGGCTTCACCATGTGACCGCCCCGCCCCCTAGAGGTTCTCTTCCGGAGCTCCGTACCTGAGAGCTCCCCCCCGACTAGAGCCCTGTCTATAATAATAGTAACAGAGCATTTTCAAGGGAGAGAATATAAAAAGGTGTATTAAAAGGCATAACTCATTTTATTCAGCTGTTATTCATGCTAATACGTTACGAGAGTTGGCTTTGCACGAGCTGTCTCTTTCTTATGCGATGCACGGAAACAGAAGCCGTTCCAAAGCTTCAGAGCCACTCAACCAACCTGCCATTCACCACTAAAAAAATGACTCAAAGGAAACAACAAGCCGGGGTGGCGTTGCCTCCAGTTCTCCGTTGTGGATTTGCACCTGAAGATCAAAAGAAAAAGCATGGTCTCCCCAGAAATGTTTTGCACCCTTGATCAAAACACAGCAACTTAAGCCTTTTTTTAAAAAAAGAAAGAAAAAGGTCAGCATTACAGGTTGAATATATTTAGCAGCAAGCAACTATTTGATAGGGAAAATATGCTGGCAGTTTCTCTTGGTATTTATAAATCAGTATTCCAGTTTAATCTCCAGGTCTGGGGTGGTGGGGAGTCTTTATGCAAAAATAAAGTTTGAGTCCAGTAGCACCTTTAAGACCAACACAGATCAATTCTGGATATACGCTTTCCTGTGCATGCACAAAAGCTTATACCCAGAACTAAACTTTGTTGGTCCGAAAGGTGCCACTGGACTCAAACTTTGTTCTGCTGCTTCAGACCGACATGACTGACCACCTGACTAGGACATTATTACTTTATAGTCCATACTATATCCTGGCCTCTGATCCTGAATGAAGTTCAGGGTGTGGTGTTTTGTTCCTTTAATTTGGAACTGGTTTAGACAGTTTGAATTCACTTCAGGACTTGGTGTGGGCAGGAACAGGGAGAAAAGGGGGTTGTTGTCACTGCAGTTCTAGGCAGAGAAAGAACTGGACTTATTAAACTGCTCCTGTTTGAAACTATTCTGCCTAGCATTAAGGACACAATGGGGGGGGGAATAAGAATGTCACAATTGCACAGGCAGAGCAGATAGTATGGTGCCAGTTGTGTGGGGGAAGACCCTGTCTGTGTGGTTATGACAGTCACGTAAAGCTCCCTTGAGCAAAAATTCTAACTTTGTAAGCTACTGTCATTAAAGTTGTGAGCAAGCAATTTGGCTACCCCATAAATTAGTTTGCTCTGGAGCCATCCTTCCTGAGCTAAGTCAAAAATGTGTGAGCTGGAGGCTAAAAAACTGTGAGCTAGCTCACACTAACTCAGCTTAGAGGGACTCCAATCCTGCTGCCAAATAAAGTTACTTATTTTAAACATGCTAATAGCGACTAAAGGGAACCTCCACATCCAGAAGCGATAAAACTCCTGAATACCTGTGCTAGGAGGAAACATCAACACCAGAGACACTTACTTCTCAGGGGTTAAGAAACAACACTTCATAACGGAAATGAGGTTCTGCCAACCCTGGGGAAATATCTCGTAGAGCCTGGGCAAACCACCCAGCAAGGTCACTGCTAGATTCCCAGTCCCTGGGACTCGGTAACTCCCTTGAAAAGAGGGTCTGGCAAACCAGCCAAACACTGTCTGTGGGTTCAGGGACAGGTTAGGTAAAGGTAAAGGTTCCCTTGCTCGAAAGCCAGTCGAATCCGACTCTAGGGTTGCGGTGCTCATCTCCGTTTCAAAGCCGAAGAGCCAGTGCTGTCCGAAGACGTTTCCGTGGTCATGTGGCCGGCATGACTAAACACCAAGGCGCACGGAACGCTGTTACCTTCCCACCAAAGTGGT